ACACCCTGGGAATGACTAAGCTGAGAGGTACTGGTGAACTTCAGCTTTTCCAAATTCTTGAATATATATATGTCAGAGACGTTTGAACCAGAGCGCCTCCATCTTGAATAGGAGCTGGGTAACGTAAGGCTGGGACCTACCGGGCTGCATTCCCAGGAGGTTAGGCATTCTTAGTCACAGGATGAGATAGGAGGTCAGCACAAGATACAGGTCTCAAAGACCTTGTTGATAAAAGGATTCGGTAAAAAAGCCAGCCAAAACCCACCAAAATCAAGATGGCAACTAGAGTGATATCTGGTCGTCCTCACTACTCATTATACGCTAATTATAATGCATTAGCATGCTAAAAGACCCTCCCACAAGCACCATGACAGTTTACAAATGCCATGACAATGTCAGGAAGTTACCCTATATGGTCTAAAAAGGGGAGGAACCCTTTTTAGGAGTTGCCACCCCTTTCCTGGAAATCTCATGAATAATCAACCCCTTGTTTAGCATATAATCAAGAAATAATCATAAAAATAGCCAACCAGCAGCCCTCAGAGCTGCTCTGCTTATGGAGCATCATTCTTTATTCCTTTACTTTCCTAATAAACTTACTTTCACTTTACAGATTTGCCTCCAATTCTTTCTTGCACAAGACCCAAGAACCCTCTCTTAGGGTCTGGATTAGGATCCCTTTCCGGTAACATATACGCCTTTCTAGTGACAAGGGTGTACAACAGAACACATAAGAAATCTGTTTACAGAAGTGTAGCTTCTTTAAAAACAAACTGAACACCAATTCAATCAGAAGACATTTCATGTAGATATAAATAATTACTTTATAGCTATGATGATATGTCTCAATTTGCCTGGAACAATCCCATTTTATTGATAGCACATGAGCAACTCTCAAACATGTCCTGGATTGGATCATAAATTGTATGGCCAATAGCTAGCAAGACTGTATAGCACACTTCTGATTATTAAAAAAATAGCAAACATGATGATCTTCTGATTTATTTAACATCTAGGAGTGTCTTGTAATGATTTTTTTAAATTAACATGGTTCAGTCTGGATGCCAATATTTGATAGATATTAGCCATTAGAGATTGGGTCAGCTACAATTCTTACTGTGGATAAACAGTAGTATTAATACAATGTATAATGATATTAATAACACTAGAAATTGTAGTGTGACTGGGTATAATGGTTGCTGCTGAGAGCCTATGAAACTTCATCTACATGAGTCCATTAAACCTTTTTTAAAGGTTATTTTTTGGCCGGGTGCAGTGGCTCACGCCTGTAATCCCAGTACTTTGGGAGGCCGAGGCGGGTGGATCTCCTCAGGTCAGGAGTTCGAGACCAGCCTGACCAAATGGCAAAACCCTGTCTCTACTAAAAATACGAAAATTAGTGGGACGTGGTGGCGGGCGCCTGTAATCCCAGCTACTGTGGAGGCTGAGGCAGGAGAATCGCTTGGACCCGGGAGGCAGAGATTGCAGTGAGCCGAGATCGTGCCACTACACTCCAGCCTGGGCAATAAGAGCGAGACTCCATCTCAAAAAAATAAATAAATAAATAAATAGGTTTTTTTTTTATCGACAAGTAATTGTACAGATTATATATTAATGAGGTATTTTGAACCATGGAACTTTTATACTGTACAACAACCTTGCAAGGGAGAGACCACTGCCAGTACTACACCTAAGGAAAGAGTCTCAGGAATCGCTAGCTGACTTTCTCACGGTGAGGGTAGAGGAAAGATGTTAGCTCCTGTCTGTCTCCAGCTGCAATCTACATTCTTTCCAAAGCCAGCATTCCGCTTCTATTATGGGCATGTTTCATGTTTTTAATCCTCTCTTTTGGGTAACAGAAAATAGCATTTGTTACTCCATAAAAAAAAAAATCTTAAAACAATATTTTTCCATTCCTCAGGTAGGAAGATAACATTTATGCATTTATGACTTTTATTGGAAGGAAAAGAACTCAAAGAATATTTCAACCTTTTGCCTAAAATTGTATCTACTTGTATGAAATGCACTCACTGAAATGATCATTGCAGCGCCTGCTGTGTATTTTATTTGCTCATCTTTTTAAATATCTGAATGCCAAAGGTTTAAAAACATTTTTTCAAGACCGATAATAGGAGTTTCCTGCAAGCAAAAAGTAAATGCCGCCTAGCCGTTTTCAAGAGGACAGTAGTAAATGCAAGATCCATGATAAAAACCAACGCAGTCACATTTTAAAGTCTCTATCGTCCTGTAAAATCAGCAAACTTGGCACATTTCATTCCATCAAATGAAAGGGGGTCTGTAGTGTGCTTGGCTGTTCCACACTAGCTCATTGGAGGAATGTAAATAGACCAGCACAGAGATGCTAAATCGCTTCTTTTATTTCTTCCCCACCAATTTTACAGCTCTCTGTTATCTCATGACTTTTAAAAACTCTCCATAACAAAAAGTAGACTTACAATTTTTCAATTAGTTTTTCTTTCCTCTAAAAAAAGTGTGTATAATTTCCAGGCTAATTTGCAAGATGTGCAATTGATTCATGAAGGGACAAAACTGATGAAAAATCAGTGTAGAGTTGCTTGATACAACTGAGCTTTAGGGGGAAAAGGAGATCAATTTCTCTCGAAACTCAATCTTATCAGACACATCAATCCATCACACATGCAACAGAATAGTCTGTGATTCCAGCAAAGCAAGAATTTTCTCGATGCCCACTGCCTCCTTCAGAAAAGGATGCCCAAGCTTTCTTCCGTGTGGCCCTGCTACAGGCAGTGCACACACTGCTCCCTTTGAAGAAGGCCTGTGCAGTACCCTCACACGTACTTTCCTCCTTCCACCTCTTTGTCAGAATGGACCTTTTGTAAAACATCAAGAAGCACAATTTCCTGTTTCCAACACTAGTAGTCAAAGCAACTATCCAGCGCCTCTGAAAAATACTCAGTGAAGCATGCAATTATCGCTATGCAAAGGTTCAGAGACATTATTCTGCCAAGATGTGGCTCACAGAAAACTACAAAAATTATAGGAAATAAAGCCAACGATATAATAAGTTTTTTGACACTAAAAGGTTTTTTGGTGGTGTTTATTTTCTTCAACACAGAAACCAGTCTGGAACCTTGAGTTCTTTATCAATGTTTCAAAAGACATAACTTTAGCAACACCTGTGACTGACTTGCATTTCAAAGTAATAAATGCATTTCTCCTAGCGTTTCTTACACCACCTCTTAGGGTTTCTCAGCAGTTCACCACCTCTTAGGGCTTCTTACAGGTTAACATTTTCACATAGGGAAAAAAAAAAAAACACTCAGAATGAAATGAAGTCATCTGATTGAAAATAAAATATTCTTGGCAATATTTAACTATTTGAAGAAAACACTTTTAGTGATATTTCTTGTTTGAGAGACCTCCTTTAGTCCATTTGATTTTGTTTTTCATTTTAACTAATTATTTTATTGTTTATTTATTTTATTTATTTATTTATTTTTTTGAGAAAAGTCTCGCTCCATTGCCCAAGCTGGAGTGCAGTGGTGCTACCTCTGCTCATCGCAACCTCAGCCCCCTGGGTTCCAGAGATTCTCCTGCCTCAGCCCCCTGAGTAGCTAGGATTACAGGCACCTGCCATCAGGCCCGGTTAATCTTTGTATTTTTAGTAGAGACTGGGTTTCACCACTTTGGCCAGGCTGTTTTCGAACTCCTGACCTCAAGTGATCTGCCTGCGTGGGCCTCCCAAAGTGCTGGGATTATAGGCGAGAGGTACCATGCCTGGCCTCCATTTTATTTTGTATTTCATTTTGTATCATAATCACACTGCAACCAATATACACATCTCTCTCATGGCTAACTTGTTAAAAATTTTATTTTCTACACCACTTCAATGCATTTTTGCCTGGAAAACAAATGTTTTTACATAGGTCTAGGAATATTATTTGCAAACTAACCAACACCAGGAAAGGCCATCTCAGAAGGTACTGAAATCTTACCCTGAAGACGTATAATTTTCCAACCTACAATTAAAAGAAGATGAATGACGGTCGGGCGCGGTGGCTCACGCCTGTAATCCCAGCATTTTGGGAGACTGAGGCGGGCAGACCACGAGGTCAGGAATTTGAGACCAGCCTGGCCAATATGGTGAAACCCCGTATCTATTAAAACTACAAAAATTAGCTGGGCGTGGTGGCATGAGCCTGTAGTTCCAGCTACTTGGGACGCTGAGGCAGAAAAATCACTTGAACCCAGGAGGCAGATGTTGCAGAGGCTGCAGTGAGCCGAGATTGCGCCACTGCACTCCAGCCTGGGCGACAGAGTGAGACTCCGTCTCAAAGAAGAAAAAAAAAAAAAAGAAAGAAAAGAAATGAAATATCAAAACATGGAGGAACTAAACTTGAATTTCCATGTATTCAGCCTTTAATCATAGATCATCAATGGAACAAAAGCCAACTAACAGCTAAGTTTCCTTGCATGCAAATGCAATGGAACCGAAACAACAGATCTTCCAAAGGCTCAACATAATCAGTTAGAGAATTGGATAAGATATTTTCCTCCACACAATATACTGATTCATAGAATGACACAACCAGAAAAGAAAGCTAAGATCTATGGCCATTCCTAACCATGATATCACCAAATATGTGTTCATTGTACAGGTCTATGCAGACAAACATATATTCATTGAACTCCAAGGGAGAAACATACTTTAAATAAAATTTCATTTCATCTTGAAGATCTTAAAGTCTGCATTGTTTTGAGGAGGGATTCAGGTTCCACAAAGTAAAATTATTGGATCAGAAATTGCAAGCTAAAAAAAAAATAAAACAATAAAATGACCATGTTGCACGAAGGTAGTAAAAGGAATAAACATATCTGATCACATAAAGTAAATACCGTAAAGTGGAATTAACCAGGAACTGGAATAACAGGATTCAAATCCACGAGCCCTGTCAAAATAAGAAGTGGACCTTTCATGTTTCCTGTTGCTCAGTCATTTACATGATGAAATCACTTACCTAGTATTCCCAGACGGTAGTTAATAGTGATCACGATGACATTTCCGTAGCTGGCCAAAATGCTGCCGTCAATCATGTTGCCGGTGCCCTCCATGTAAGATCCCCCATGGATATAGACCATAACCGGCTTCTTACTGTTCTGATCATGAATATCTGGAAAAAAAAGCCAAGTAAGGAAACACAATAAAGAATCACACTGACTCACCAATGCTCAATTAAGAACAAAGGAGATTCACTGATTTCCCTATTTTGACTTGAATTAAGCACATTTATTTTTATGGATGATATGACCCTTGATAAGAGGTTCTAAGGAAAATGATCAGTGCTATTACGTTTTCTATTTATGGAAATGGTATTTTAAGAAGCACACAGACATTTGGCATCCTCTGCTCATGTAAGCTTCTATATATATCTAAAGCACTAAAAGAAATGGTTTTAGGTAAAGTATACATTTCCTAAATTTTGCTCAAACCCTAAAATGTGATTTAAATTGAATAAACACATGGAATCCTTGACAAAATACATTTTATATTCTAATTAAGTATAAAATCAACTTCAAAATTATAATTAATTTTAATATAGTTGCATCTTAATTCGCAGGTGAGTGTACAGATTCATCTTCAATTTAACAGTAAAAACATAAGAGTAGCAGTGAAGCTATAAACTATCAATAAGGGACAGATAATGACAAGAAAGCAAAATCAATAGTTAAAAATTAACAGAACAGAAATAAGGAAAAAAAAGGAAGGATGTCCAAGCAAATGTCTTTGTTCCAGTGATTACAGTAACATACTAACATACTTAAGTGACAAAAATAAAAGAGATGCAATAAAAAATGGCAAAATAATCCAAATTATTTGAATGCTTTATATTTTCACAGGGACTATAAACTCCCATTGTGACTTGCAACCAAAAATTCCTCTTAATAATTTACTTTATTATTTAAATTAACAATGATGTAAAAACAATGATCTGTGATGATAGGAAGCTGGGGACCATCTGTAGGGCCTGCTTTGTGAAAAGTTATGATTAAATAAACTGTTTATAACATTAATCAGCAATTAGGGCTACATTTAATCTTTAGAAGACTGACCTCACCTATAAATATTTCTGGATACAGATATGTGTGTGTGTGTGTGTGTGTGTGTGTGTACAAACAATGTAAATATCTTTGTTACTAAAAGAAAACTCAAGTATGTATGCATATTGATTTCTAATTTTTTCTTCAATAAAGTTTTTTTTCCTCATAATTCGCAGGGACACTTTTGAGATATTGGAAAAGAATTCTGAGGATATGAATTACCATCGTTTGGACGGTGGCTCCAATTTGAATGAATTACGATCACAATTTTCCTGGGTGTACACAGAAGACATGACATACCCACTGGTCACAGTAAAGCACACAAAACAGTGTCAAGTTACCCAAGTATTTCTTTGCAGATATTTAATCCACGGCAGAAAAGTGGCTTTTATTTCTCATATTAAATTCAAATATAAAGTAAAAATCTTCTATTAATCATTTATTCATCATATACTACAGGAAATGTCTTCTGCTATATGAATAAGAAATGGCTTTTCTCCTGATCCACTGCTTCTTTCTGATTCCTAATTTGCTGTTTTTGGCCTCATTTCTTTTACCATTACCAGCAGTTGTCTAGTAAATTGTGGAAAAAAGGGTAAGTGGAGATTTTGAAGGGCTGCTTTAAAGTGCTCCCTTGGAAAACATGTGAGATTAACATCTCTTACCTTTCATAAAACATAGAACAAGACTCTCTTGACCTTGTGGAAGTAATAACCAGTTGTCATATTAATCATGAAAATTAGATGGCATTTCAATGGTAATAAAGATTCACTGGGAACATTGTGAAAACAGGTCCTAATTATCAAAGGGAAATGTATTAAAAAGAGAAAGCCAAACAGGATGCAAATTATAGCAGTATAAGGAATGAGACAACAAAAGTTTATTTCATTTTTATGTATTTGCTCAATGCTGATAAAATGTCAGGCATTCAGAAGCCCTTATCAAAGAAGGGGCTACCTGAAGCAGGTGTACATTTTGATCTTCCATGGCCATCAGAATTGAGATCTCTCAGAGAGCTACTTGAGGCAGTGACAGCCCTATGAGCTCAGTAAAAATACTACTATTCAAAATGTTAAGGGAAGACTGGGCATGGAAAGGGTGTTGGCAAGATTTCTTTTCTTGGAGAACAGTTGATTTATGAAGATAAGCAAGGCGGGGAGCAACTACAAGAACTGGTCAAAAGACCCTGTCATGGACGTTGGTCTTGACCAGCAAAGATAATTCAGGACTCACTTTTGGGCTTTAAATTGCCTTTCAGACAGAGACCCAAAGGTCCAGCCAGGGCCTTAATGGAGCTCCATGCATTTTGCTTCCCAGACGGGAAAAATGTGCTTTTAGCTAATCCTATAGAGCCTTACCAATGAAGAAGGGCTTGCTTCAGTACTTTTTTTGTTGCTTCCCCTCTTTTTAAAAAAAATCATTTCTGGTACAGAAAGGGCAGAAAAACAGCGTGCAAGTTGTCTGCATGAGTACCTCAGACCTACCATCTTTTAAAAAAAATCCTTTCACTTCTGGTAGATAATGTGTTGAGCAATTTGGTAGCCTTAAGAAGAAACTTCACAGCAACAAAACATTTTACGGAGAAAAACGTTTTCAAAAAAAGCCGTAGTGTAAAAAGAATAGCTAGCTTTTTGTCCTTTCTCAGTTCTGAGATACTCTTATCTTTTTTTTTTTTTTTTTTCCTTTAAATGCTGTAAAAGGCAGTCCTGAAAGCATCAGGACTCGTTAACAACAGCATCTCGTTAAAACACTTTTTGGTGTACTTCACTGTGAGAAGATTATCAGAAATCTATGTTGGAATCAATATGTTTGTGAAGAAAAAAAAACTGATATTTCAGCCCCCCCCCAAAAAAAAATATTCTAAGGTGCTGCAGAGTTTTGCAGTTTATAAAAATAATTAAGAAGACCAAAGCTCCAAAGTAGCATATTAACTTACAAAATAACATTTGGAAGGAAGAAAAAAGACTATACATGCATGTTTTAAAATTCCATTTTCTCTTCTTGTGACCAAGCCAAAAAAAAAAAAAAAAAAAGATGGGCTTCTCTGTAAACAGTAGTTCATTACTCTTTTCATGTTCAGAAACAATGTTTATACTTCTCAGAGTGATTTGTTTCCTGTACATGGTAACTGGGATTAAAAATGACAATGGTTTCTATACAAGAAGAAAATAATTAAGGAAGCACACCAAAGTGTACTAGTTTTAAATAAGGGGAGAAAAAACAGATTGAAATGAAAAAAAAAAGAGAGATAGATAGATATAAAATCATGCATCAGGGTTGAGCTTTGAAAAAACAAAAAATACCTTCATCTTCACCACGGTCATTACTGGTTATATCATCTGCGTTTTTCTTTGTGTTGGCTCCTGGGGTCATATTGAGAAGGAAAATAAAGGGAAAAAAGAGAATTCAAAAACAACAGGTTTGCAAAAAATTCAGAAAAGAGAGATGCTACCCAGTAAAAGAAAAAAAAAAGAATGTAACACAAAAAGTTGAAATCGGTTACATTTGGATTTCAAAAAAATGAGATAGGGAAATGCAAAATGCATATAAACATAAAGATGTCAAGAAGAACAAATTCAAAATGTTACTTGCAAAAAATATTAGATATCCTGTGAATATGTAGTTGGGGGTTAAAATGATGCTACTGCAAAAAAAAAATGCTAACGTGAGTTGTTTTAAAAAAAGAGAAATTAAATTATTAGAAAAGATATTTCCCACATTCTTTAAAGAAATGCTTATGGCGTATTCAATGGTCCTCTGATTTTAACATGTTATAATTTAAATGAATTTTTGAATTGTTATTGATACATTATGGTTAGAAATTTTCATAAGGCAAGCAAAAACACACAGTAAACATGGAAGGACTTTAATCAAAATACCATAAAATTGACATTAATTTCATGCATTAAAAACCTATAAACATGCAATCTCAAAAAGTCAGAATTGTTAATAATTTAAATCACTAAGATTTACCTCTACTCTGTGTTTAGAGAAGCACTACCCATTATTCACTCTTGTTTTCTTCTATTAAAATCTACTACATGCAATAAATATTTAAGTCAGGACAAAACATTATAGACCATGTCCTATGTGTTTAAAATAGTTATGAAATATCATTTGAAAGTTATGTCCTCTGTGTTTAAAACAGTTATTAAATATCATTTGCAGATTATGTCCTCTGTGTTTAAAATAGTTATTAAATATCATTTGAAAGTTATTGGTACTTGAATTTGTTGAAGAAAATAAAAATCGAAGTCATCTACCTTGATCACCTCAGTAAGAACTGCATAGGAATTTTAATACAGGCACAATGCAGGAAGCGGCCCTGAAGGATGGCACAAACTAGCTTATGGTCTTTCTGCACAGAGCACCATTTTGGTTTTTATACTTTCCACATTTAAATGGTGTGAACATTTAATTTTGCTTGAATTAATTAATTGGCTCCACTGCTTCCTTTTCACAGACAGATGCAGCCCATGTATGCATATCCCACTATCAATAACTGCGTCAATCAATTAAAACAGCCTTTGCCTTCCTGTAGGGTTCTAGGATAAGTGGATTAAGGCAGAGGGAAAATATTGTCATCTCCAACACTTGCAAATGAAAAACACTCTTCCGTTCTACATAACTCAGAAGAGCTTAAACATATTTTGAAACCAAGACTTGATAATGCTGTTTCCATACATCAAGCAAAAGTTAAATAATGTCCATTTCATGGGGGCTTAATACCCTTTAAAACCAGACCTGGGTGGGTGTGATAGCCTTGCTGATCCACTTTCTGTCTTTATAAGACTTGCCTTTTCTAGGCTTTTCATATAAATAAACTCATATAATATATGGTATTTTGTGTCTGGCTCCTTTTACTTAGCACGATGTTTTCAATGTCCTTCCATACTGTAGCATGAATCAATACTTCATTCTTTTTTTTTTTTTTTTTTTTTGAGACGGAGTCTTGCTCTGTCGCCCAGCCTTGCTGATCCACTTTCTGTCTTTATAAGACAGTGGCCAGATCTCAGCTCACTGCAAGCTCCGCCTCCTGGGTTCACGCCATTCTCCTGCCTCAGCCTCCCGA